AGAACTCTCTTCTTGAGCAAGCATGAAGGCGACAGTGGAAAGAAAAAACTCCCTCATGAGGAAGAAACCTTTAGCAGAACCAGGCTCAGAACAAGAGGCCATCGGCTTCGACCGGCTGGGTTTGAAAGGAACAGGAAGGAGGAACAGATACAAAGGCAGGTCAAGAATCACACGTTAAGATAGAAACAGTATCAAATGAAACCTATTCGATTGTAACAATTCATTTGAGGAAATGAGGTTAGTTTGTCCTCTAGTAGTCCAAACCTATGGCTGCATAACAAACCAACTCTAACTATAGGATTTATCAAAAAGGGAAGTCTTAAGCCCAGCCTTAAAACTGGACAATGTGTCAGCCTCACAGAGAGAAACTGGACGTTGGTTCCACAAGAGAGGAGCCTGATAACTGAAAGATCTTCCTCCCATTCTGCTTTTGGAAACTCTGGAACCACAAGTAAACCTGCAGTCTGAGAGCGAAGTGCTTTGTTAGGAAAATATGGAACAATAAGATCTGTAATATAAGATGGAGCTAGACTGTTGAGGGCTTTCTAGATAAGAAGTAAGATTTTGAATTCAATTCTGGACTTGACAAGGAGCCAGTGGAGAGAAGCTAAAACTGGATGATATGATCTTTCCTACTAACTCCAGTTAAGACTCTGGCAGCAGCATTTTGGAATAACTGAAGACTTTTTAAAAGAAGTATTTGAATTTACTGTAATACTTAAATTATTATTTACTTCATGTCATATTGTATCATCACTCCCAAACAGAGCACTTGACTCTGAGATTGCATGTTTACTTGTGGTTCCTAAATGGGTGGCAGAGCTTTCAGTTATCAGACAGCTCTCTTGAGGGAAACAACTTCCAGTTTCTGTCTGTGAGGCTGACACATTGTTTACTTTGAAGATGAGGCTTGAAACTTTCCTTTAATAAATCCTATAGTTAGGGTCGGCTTGGGTTTCTTGTGCACTCCCTTCATTTAGGTTTTGATTGCTGGAGGACAAATTAGAACATCTGCTCACTCTGCTCAGTCTTTACTCACTCTCTCCATGTTTGTGTTGATTTTTCATTATTTATTCAAACTTTATTTAGACAGGTTAATCCCATTGAGCCTCGGGGACTCATTTACAAGAGAGATTATTTCTGTCATTAACATGTGTTTTTCTTCTAAGTACCTGACCAGAACAACAAAGTTCCTGCTCAGTCATCCAGGTACTAATCCTACTGCTTGGTGGGGAAACAGTTTACTGGAACTCCTCTGACTGATGAAGCCCTCCGGATAGAAGGCGAAACATCGCTATAAAAATATAAACTGTCCAGATGACCCGACTGAGAATTATTGGATTTGGTACATGGATGATTGAGCATGAACTTTGTTGCCTTGAACCACTTTGTCTGTGGCTGCCTGTCTGGGAGGAGTTAACAAGGGACAGGACGGCCCCCAGAAACCATATTAGCTCCAGCAAACTGGTTGGTCCACTTAAGGAGTTTACTGCTTGGTGGGGAAACAGTTTACTGGAACTCCTCTGACTGATGAAGCCCTCCAGACAGAGGGCGAAACATTGCTATTAAAAAAATAAACTGTCCTGACGACCCTACTGAGAATTATTGGACCTGACCTGAACATTTCTGTGTTTCTCTCCTCTCAAACACCAGCCGGTCAGGGATGGCAGCTCAACCTGGTTCTGTGGGAGTTTTTTTTTTTTTTTCCTGTTACGGGGAGTCATTCCTTTCCACTGTCGCCATGTATCTTAACAAAGTAAAGATACAATATAACCTGCTGGCTTCCTTAAATAGATATGCTTCATATTATTTAATCGGAATTTCATAATGTATGTGTTGTTTTTATTTTAGTAATGAAATGACTGTAATTGGATTTTCAATATGGATTAATTTTGGATTTGTTTTTCTCCTTTATATAAGGCCCTGTGAATCGATGTTAAATAAACTGAATTAAACTGTATGATAATTGATACAAAACCTCTATCTAATATTTTCCAACCCAAAAAGTAACACTGAAATAAATTTAAAAGCTATTTTATCAGAACAAAACATGGTCGATGTCTCTTTCTGTAATGTTTCTGCTCCATTTAAAATTCCTGATTTTCCTCCACTCTGGTCAACAAAACGAACTCACCCCCGTCTTACGTCACACCGGTGGGCGGGACTTCCAAACAGCAGCAAGGTGACAGAAAGATGATTGGAGACTCACCCAGTACAGAAAGCTCTCATCAGCTGCAGCAGAGCAACCAAGACTCCCATAAGTGCTGCTTCAAAAGCAGAATTAGGATGTTTCATTCATAAAAAAGGAATAAATTTCTCACAAGGAGCATGAGACTTACACAATTTATTTTTATTACACAACAGGCTTTACTGACACAAGCGTCACTGACTCGAGCAGAAAGATCATGCACAAAACCGCACACATTTTATTAAAGTTATAACACACCAATCAGATTACACATAGCTAAATAGGTTTGACCCAATCAATTTAGGAGCTTTTAAAACGGTTTCCCCAAAATTAAGTCCTTCAGTGATTTTCTAAACGTTTTTCCTCATAGCGCCACTAGGGGACGCCAGATTACAGCTGAACACAGATTAAAAGTCACATGTTGGGCCATCTGTCTGAGAACAGCCTGACTGAGAAAAATCCACATTTATAACACTTTGTACAGGAAAAAGAGTTTGCATGTATGGGGAAGAGGATCAGGGTAAAAATTGTACTTTATTATATAAAATTATCATGATGGGTAGGACAAAAACCAGGCAACACTACAGGAAAATGTTCTCCTTTGAATGTTTCTGCATCTAGGAAGAACAAAAAGAGAAAATGTGAGCATTTAAATGTTATAAGTACATAAATAAAGAACAAGCACAGTTTCAGATTGACGTTTCACCTGTTTAAAATCGTTTTATGAGAAGAAACTGTAGAGATAGGAGAACCCAACAATCCCAATGATGGCACAGCACAATGTAATCATCATCTTTTTCTAGAGATTCAAAAACACAAATCAGTCAGACAACAAGTGAAACTGGGTTTAAACAAAAAAACTCACAAGATTAATGCATTTTTACTGGTTTGAGGAAATGGTTGAGCAAAGGAGAACAGAGGATCACAGGACAGGGTGTGTATCTGTGTGTGTAATAGGAAATTTAAAAAAATGGCACAACTTACCTGTTTAGCACTAGAATACCAATCTTTAAAGTCTGCACTTTGCAACAGGGCAGTAAAAATGTAGACTCAACCACGTGCTGACGGAAGCTAAACCATAAAACACATTTTCACAGCTTCTCTGCATCACAAAGAGCTATATTTCAGTTACAGATTTACTTTGGTCACAATAAACAGTCAGCCTTTTAAAAACGATAAACTTTAATTCATTTGACATAAACAACATTCAACATAAAACGACATGCAACAGTTTCAGTTCATTTCCTTCCTTTTCCTTTTGTGATCCACAAAAACCATGCAGGAGGCCTCTTAATTCAAGTATGTTCTTCACGGGGAGTCGAACGGGTTCTGGTTGATGACTCCATTTAAACAGCTGTTCTGCTTTAAATCACATCTGGACAGTCTGCTTTTATTTAAAGATATGATTAAAAGTGGTTCAGTTAGCTGTCAGTCTTATAAACCAAATACAAACCAATTAAAACAGCTTCTCTAAACATTCACATATTAACATGACTGATCTTTATGTGCTGATAAATCACTGAGGGGTGTTTCTACCATTTATTCTGCTATTTATACCAGTACGGTCAGAAAAAATATTAATGCAACTCAGCTGAGTGTTTACAGTAGAAATATTAGACTTAAATCATTTCACAATGAAAAAGTCATTAAGGTGAGGCTTTCAAGTAAACCTAGGCGTTCATTTACCTGCGACTTGATTTAAAAAAAAGTAATTAAATCTTAGAAAAACAAAGATTGTGTGTGTGTGTGTGGGGGGGGGGGGGCTTAAAGAAACTGAGCCACTAGTGTTACTTTAAGCTGCTCTGTAACCCATATGGAGTTGCTGTTCCACTCACGCGAGACATTTAAAGATTTAATTTCTGTCCTTTCTTTCACAGGTTAATGAAATGTTCTTATGGACCGCTCTGGCACTTTTAAGACGGCACGTCTACAACACACACACAATAAATCTATTATTTACATAATCATATAGAAATTTGAACTAATTCCATCTTTATCAAAGTGAAAAGTGCTTAAAACCAACAAGACCCCACAGCAGCGAACATTCAGTAGCTTCAAAGTCATGTAAAATGTGTCGAGGCTCATAAAGTCGACGCACAATGATGGGGGAGGTTGTTACGGTCAGAAACAGTGAATGACAGAACACGGGGGGGTGCAACATCAACAAGTGTTGGACAGTGAAATGTTCAGTGACCCTGGAGTGACGCAATGATCCATTACTTTTGTTTCCCCTTTCTCCATCTCCACAGAGGTGCTGCAGTCGGTCAACTCCTAATCCTTCATTTGCAGCAGAACATCCGCAAAACGTCCAAAACGGAGTGGGAGAGGCCACCGTCTCCTCTTTTGTAGTTGACCAGATGTAACCGCTGTAGCTGCACCTTTAATTTTTTTTTTTTATCCGTGGCTTGTGTGTCGTATCGATTATTTCTTTGGTGAAGTAACGGATGATGAAAACATGATGATGATGACGATGGCAGCCAAGAGTCCTACTTTATTGTCTGGGTGAGGATAATGATGATGATGATGACTAAAACCACAGCACAGCATACACCGATGAAGATCATCTTCTACAGAGGGGGAGGAGATACAGAGACAAGAGGTTTGTGTTAATGACAGGAGCATTTAAATGACCCCACAGAGCAAACACCGGCTGAAAGAGCGTGCAACCAAACCACTAACACCACTTTGTTTGACCAGAGATGAGTGACGTGGAGCAGCAGAAAAACAAGATAAAAATAAACGCGCACACACCCAAGTACTTCAAAAACAAGCAAACCTCAAGTAAGCTCCCTGGATGGACAGACAGCATGCAACAAGAGGCCTCAAACCCACACCCACCGTAGAGCTACAGCATTTTTCTATAAATTCACTTACCTTTAAATTCGAACAGCTCATTTATTTAAGGCCTACTGACAACCCAACTATCAGAGCTACTACTGCCAGCAAGACCATCACAATCACCACAATTATCACCATTTTCTGTAGGGAAGTGCACAAAGTTTGGTCAGGTGCAGATCTCAGGGGAAAACAACAAAAAGTAGAGCAACAGTTGTGTTTGTCACTGTTTGACATGACTGGAAGTTACAAAATTAGAAGGATTTACAGGTTTGTATCAAAAATAAAAGAACAGGACAACAACCACACAAACGCCACAGATACAGATTACTCACGAACAAATAAAAGCTGCAGAGAAAAGACGAACGCGTGAGAACGAAGAGGAGACAGAAAAGGTGTGTGCGTGTGTGTCAGTGGGAGGGAGTGGGTGTTCTGTTCTTGACTGTGTGTGTGTGGGGGGGGGGGGGGGGGGGGGATGGGGTGTTTAAAAAATGGGGGGGGGGGGGGGGGGGGGGGGGGGGGGGGTGTCACAGTAGTGTTTAAAACACTGGGTGGAGACTGGGTCAGGTGCAGGACGGAGGGTCGGGGGAGGTCTCAGATCTTGATTGTGGAGATGGTCATTGTGATATAAAGCAGGTTTCCCAAAAGCACAAACATGTTCAGGACACTCCATTCTTTAACGAGTTATGAGAAATTAACACTTTAATGTGTGTAAAAAAGGGATCTCTGCTGTGAGGACGTGTCATAAAACCCACAACACAGCCGACCTGCGGGACCTTAAAGCTTTAGGAATCATTTAATTGTTTGTTGTAATAACTCAGGAGGACTGTGTTAAAGCTGCCTTAATCTCTATTAGCACTCAGGAGTCAAGATTTTTCAATCCACAAGGTTTCTGATGTTCATTCCTAGTGTGAAAAGTTATGAACAATCGAGCTCCAGTGCTCTTATGTAGCCTGCAGATACAGTAAGAGTGAACAGCTAATAAACAGGAAACATTTACTTCAATGTATTTTAAACCCATTGGCTACTCCTTGATTCAGCTGTTCTTCAGAATAAAGAAATGAGACAAAAACAAGAGTCTCTGGATATCTATGGATTTAAGGAGCACCCTGAAACACTGTTGTCCACAGAGCCCAAGTCATCAGCTGTTGACAGATAACATAACAGAAGGCCTGTCACGATAACAAATTTTGCTGGGTGATTAATTGTCTCAGAAATAATTGCAATAAACAATAATATTGTTTGAAATTTGATCATAATTAGTAATTGTCAAATTTAAGAAGAAATGTTGGTTAATTTTGTGTGTAGTACCTTTTGTTGACCACTGGGTGGCAGCATAAGACTGTTTGAACTGAAGGATGGATAGTGAGGGAGCGAGCAGCGTGTCTCTAAGAAAGATGGGAGGGAGGCCCCTTGACGTGACGTGGTCCGTCTCTCGTTTCGGTTTTTTGGTTCTCAAAACGGCAGATGCTCGGTGTGGTTTGAGCTCTTTAGCATAGCATTTGTCACACAAAACTTTTAATTTAAAAAAATCAGTAAAGTTCTCAGCTTCTTTTTGCAGAGAAAAAATAACTTTTTAGACGAAGGCACGGGTTTCAACTGTGAATTTTGGAGCTTTGACATGATGGTTTTTTTTCCCTCCCCGAGGTTGGCCTGTTAGCTTAGCTTGTAGCTTAGCTTCTCAGCTTAGCTGCTTTTAACGATCCAAAAACGCGATTTTGGACGATTAAAACAGATTTTAAAGAGAAAGTGAAGGTCAGTGAAGAGCAGCGGAGTTGAGCCTTTTGTCATCCAGTGTCTTCAGAAGAAAGAGAGACACACAAAGAAACGATCAAGCCGATAAATGAAAATGAGGTAGATAATTTTCATTTATCATGTGATTCAATGATTTATTGTTTATCGTGACAGGCCTACATAATGGAGTAAAATTTAGTGAGGTAGTACACGAGAGTCCTCCCCAACAGATCACGAAACATTGTTAATAAAATTTCATTCTCCTTCAAGGAATGTTCACATCAATTTAGGGTTTCCTGACAAGTTTGCCGTCAGATTCATCTGGTCAAAATTGTGAACAGGTTTTTTTTTCCTTTCACTTGTTAGTTAAGCCAAAACGTTTGGTTTGCTTTTGGGAAACCAAGCCGTGGTTTTGTCTCAACCACAGTCACTCACACGCCGAGCTTCTTGCTGAAACTTTGCAGCTTTCTTGGTGTCGGCGACGGCGCGCTCCACAAAGCCCACCGACTGGTCCATGTTGCTCTCAATCCTGTCAATCATCCCACCCTGACAGGAACGGCGTCGGTGCAAACGTAAAAGCAGTGAAAGGAAAACCAGTGAAAAGAAAAACACAAAGGCAGCAGTTCTGTGTGGTGTGGAGGTGATGAGGTTGATCTAAGGAAACACTGGTCATCTGAATCACACGGTGCTCAGTGGAGGAGCACAGAAAGAAGAACAGATTTAAATAAGACGTCAAAACAACATTACCTTTCTGCTTTTGGACTGGAACTTAACAGCTTTTTTGGTTTGTTCCCTTGCCTCGATTATGTAATCGACTGACTGGCACACATTCTTTTCTATGTTGTCCACTATGTCCCCCTGGAAAGACAGAAAACTTTCAGTTACTCAAGAAAAGGCAAACAGAACAAGTTTAAGATGAATTAGTAATCAAAAGGATTAAGTTTTTTTGAATCTGCACATCTTCTTTGCGCAGCTTCAATAACGACTCAGAAGAAACAAGGTTAGGTTTAGAAAAACAGCTGACACGCACACGACAAATATAAAAAGAGTGAAGGACAAAGTGCTTACCTCAAACAACCCTTCCCCTCAGAAAGCATGACATGAAGCAGCAAGAAAACAGGCGGTCAGAGCCTCGTTTATTAAACACAGCTGCTCACTATTCAAAAAGTATGTACGTGTAATGATTTGTGTGTAAAAACGACGCTTGGTTTGAATCTTACTAAATGGATTTATGTTCCACTAATGTTGGGGAGTGAGATGGAAGGTGGCAGGAGCGAAAGAGAGGTGGAAGAAAAGCATGGAGCTGGGGGAGAAAAAAAAGAAGAGAAAACCAATGCAGGAATGTGAAGGAAAAACAATCAGGAGAAAGAGTGATACAGTGGTGATTAATCACTAGAACATGGAAAAGATGCACAGAAAGAATGGACCAATGGATGAATGTGAATGAGGTTATGAGCAGACGGGTGCAGAGGGTTTTACCTGGCTCTCCACCAGCATGGCGATGTCTACAAACATGTCATGGAGCTCCTTGATGCTACTTTCCAGACGAACGATGTCTTTATGCCTGGATTCAATCTCACTCAGAGCTTGCTTTGAGATGCCAGAATCAACTATCTGCAAAAAGGACAAGTTTCATTTTACCTCAAAGATTAAAATACAACACCCCCCTCAAAAAATAACTACATGTACCCATGCAGGTCTTTTTTAGGTGTTGTTCCGCTTTAGAAATGAAAAGTACACACACAAACCATAGTTCTACCTCTGCCAAGTTTCACATTAGTGAATATTTACAACTTATTTTACGCTCTTTTATTTTCATCTGTCCAACAAATCTGTGGCTGATCTACACTGATGTTAGTAATATGCAGACAGACCAAAACGAATGTTCGTCCCAAAACTTTAATGCTTCGCACGTACACTGATGGCCCTTTGGCGTTGGGCAATAACTAAACGCAAAAGAATAACGATGGTTTTGTAAATAAAAAGCCAAAACTTCTCCAAAAAGACCCGGCAAAGTTAAGTCAGGTCCTCTGGATGGTTTCTTTTGGTTGAAACATTTTGTTTTTCATCCAAAAAACGTCATCAGTCTGAGGAGCTGCAACAAACTCAGCCTTGTAAATAGCACCTTCAAATAGTGGGTCAGCCAGTTTGATGGTGCTCGGATGTTTTCTGTAGTCCGCCCGATTCGTTTGAGGCGGTCCAGGCCAAAGTGGTTCAAAATATCCTGATTCATGTTCAATAATCCAGGTAGAAAGATCCAACAAAGTTAAGTCAGGTCCTCTGGATGTTTTTATTTTTTTTGTTGACAAAAAAAAAAACAAGAAAAGAAAAGAAACCATCCAGAGGACCTGAATTAACTTTGTTGGGTCTTTTTGGAGAGGTTTTGGCTTTTTATTTACAAAACTATCGTTATTCTTAATGCGTTTAGTTATTGCCTGACGCCAAAAGGCCATCAGTGTACGTGCGGAGCGTAAATGTTTTGGGACAAAACATTCGTTTCCTAAATTGCAAACTACAAATTTTACAATTTGTGTAACTTTTTTTTTTTTTTTTTTTGGAAAAAAGGATATATGTTGCTTAAAATTTATTCTGTTGTCTTTTAGTGCTTTCCTTCTTATACCTGCCCTTATAGACCATTTGTTAGCAAAATATTTCACGAATCACTCCACGGATGTGAATGAAACTTTCAGGAAACAGTCGTCTGAAGTTTGTCTACAACTTTTACTTCAGATCCAGCTCAGTTCAAAACTGCAACCATAGACATTCGACTTTACAAGACATAAGGCTACATTCAGGATTTTTAAAATCAAATCTTTTGCTAAAATTAAGTGTCGTAGTAGCCGAGTCTTTACTGCTTGCACCAACAGATCATGTGAGGTCTTGAAATATTTAGTGTGATTATGAATCTCATTTGTTTCAAAATTTACCTCCAAAGTGTAAACCCCATTTATCATAGATTTTAATTTTGTCATGAAAAGCATCAGGTACACATTCCTTGGCCTTTCATTCTAAGTTGGAGGTAATTTTCAGACTAACTTTCAGCTCTGCAACATCATCGTCCAACACAACATTTTTTCCCATGTTTGGATGTTTGTGATCCGCTTCCCATAACTATTCCATCCACCTTGATGATTAAACTTTTCTATGAATTAAAAAATACATTTAAAACAACAACAACAAAAACTTTAGAAAAAATGTTAAGGACTGTGAATGTTGACCCAGGGTTCAAAGGTCCATACTTGAATTCACCTTCAAATTTGTTGGAAATGTTTTAAACTGTCAGATAATGTCTCAAGGACTTCAGGCTTGAGCAAATTTGACATACCGGCAGTGTGGACTGAAAACATTAAATCTGTGAGAGGGACCGTGACGTCTGATCATGCTTCTTATCTGTTCAGCCATGTGATTTATTAGTGCCAGCTGTAAAGGACAAACACGTCCTGCATGGACAGATGTTACATTAATATAAATAAAACATACAGTTAAGAGTTAAGAACCAACTTGTTCACATCTTAAGTTGCAAAGTTGAACTGTGCGTCCTTGTTTGTGTTGAAAACAACCTCTTTTTTATCAATGTGAGCAGAGATACACTTGAATCCAGGCTGCGGTGCAGTGTGTGTTCATTTTATCAGCTGCACCACACAGTCAAACATGAAACATTTCTCGGTAACAGTGTGTCGTTATTCATGTGTCGTTTCATTTTTTAAATCAGAAAAGCTCACGTCCAAGCTGTGCCTCTTTTACTCAAGTCTCGACCTGGCTGTTTATTATGCATGTTGAGAAAAACAGAAGGAGTGACAACACCTTTCATCCAACCATGAAATATTTATAAATGCTACGATAATTGGTAGAACTGCTTTAAGCTACCAATATAATTCCTTTTGCAGTTCAACCCACATAATGAGCAGCCAGGTTAACATTAGGATGATGTTAAACTGGGGGAAAGGCACGCAGACACACTTACCCCTGCAGTGAAAACAGCAGCATTCCCACTCTCCAACATCTCCTCCAGTTCTTCGTCTGTTGTTGCTTTTCCAGCTGGAAGAGGCAGATTTGGAAAAGTCAACACGTCACTGTGGGACCATTGTTCATCTTTGCCTTTGTGAATGTAAGTGCAACGTACTGATCTCCAACTGTCTCTGAATACGTCCTTTACTCCTCTCCCTGAAGTCCACTTGAGCTTCGTTATATTTCGTCATCACCTCCACAAACTTCCTGGACAGCACGGCATGCTGGGAGACAAAATGGCAGACACTATGCAGGAAGTGTATTCACAGACGCACTAGCAATTTCATGTTCAAATTTTTAAAACTAGAGAAGCTTCTCTGCAAAAATCTTGTTTTAATTAAATTTACTTCAATATTCTGATGTTTGACAGTACATAATCCAATCTGATTAAGATTAATAACATCCTCAAAACTTGTCAACTTTTTATCCAAAGGCCCCCTGAATGTGATGACATCATTTACCTGTGATTTCCGTATCCTTAGGTCAGCTGATACCCTCTCTTGCAGTTCTGACTCCAAATTTCTCTCAATGGCTGGAAAACAATTTGAACTATTAAGTCGGCTCTAACACGCTCCACATCATCTCATGCACCAACATAAATTATTCTGAGTGAGAAGCTGTGTGATGTAGTGGGAATAAGACTCACTCTTAAGTTTGTTCCTTGCATTGTTGGCCATCTTCTTTATGTCATTAGTGATGGCTTCCAAGTCATCCTGTGTTTCTGGAAACAAAAAGCACACACAAGATGAAAACATTTATTATCTGAAGGCCTGGCATTCCTTGAAGAAATGCATTTCTCCCACCACATTTCATGCCAGAGTTTTAAATGGAGATCATCTTATGCTGGGAAGAAACGAAGCTAGAGCTGATGTAGTCAAAACTTATAAATAACAATTGACATCTCGTGTGAGCTCTCATAAAATGTTCTTCCAGAGTTTGTGTTGAAGTTGACTGTCAACTACTGCCACACCAAGTTTTAGCTCAATATCTAAAATTGACCGAGTCATTGATGCATTTGCTAAGGCTGAATAGCAGCCATCTTGAATAAGGTTGACACCAAATGTTAATCAGTTGTGGATGTATATGAAATAATTAAATTCTATTCAAATGTATCTAGTGGCTCATGGGATATTTTGCCAACGGATAAATGAAGCACAGACATAGGCAAAAACATAAATTTTGCTTTTGGCAGAAGGCATTAGGATTACTTCATAAGAACAAGCTGCATTTACTTATTTACAGAAAATCTGTGTAAAGAAATGCATATATTAATATGTTTAATGAAGGTTATTAAGCCCCAGCTGTGGTTATTATGAGTTTCTGTCTTCAGAAAGTGATCCAGTTCAAGGTAAAACAAAAATGAAGCCGTTGGGACAAAAACTGTTTTGTGATCTAGAACCAGGGAGAGGGCAGCACGGTGGCGCAACTGGTAGAGCTGCTGCCTCTCAGCGAGCAGGTCCCTGGTTCAAACCTCGGTCCAGGGGCCTTTCTGGGTGGAGTTTGCATGTTCTCTCCGTGCATGCGTGGGTTTTCTCCGGGTGCTCCGGTTTCCTCCCACAGACCAAAAACATGCATGTTAGGCTGATTGGTAACTCTAAATTGTCCCTAGGTGTGAGTGAGAAAGTGAATTGTTGTTTGCCTCGTTTGTCTCTATGTGGCCCTGTGATGGACTTGCGACCCGTCCAGGGTGTACCCCGCCCCTCGCACAGTGATTGCTGGACATGGGCACCGGCGACCCCCGTGACCCAAAATGGAATAAACGGGTAAAGATAATGGATGGATGGATGGATGAACCAGGGAGAATCCATAAAAGAGGAGCAGAGGTGGTAAACAAAGGTAACCAGGAACGAGGTCTTACTCTGATCTGATGTGGGAGCAGACAGGATGACGGAGTAAAGCTTCTTGACTTCAGCCACATTCTCATCAATTTTATCAATGCTGTTTCTGATGTCCTCGATCTGAAAGAAAGAAAGAAAGAAAGAAAGAGGGGTCAGATGTACACAAAAGAATAAACCCCATTTATTTAAACTGGTCTTTGTAGGGAAGGAGAGAAGAGCCTCAAAATAAACTCACCTGAGAGAAGAACTCGTCCATGAAGGCTGCATTGTCAATAGCGATCTCCACCTCGTCATCATCTTGATCACACGTCTAAAAAGAAATTTAAGGCGTACATAAATACTAGAGCATAATAAAAGTGTACAAATTTTTACCTGGAGATAAATGTGTAGCAAGTCATTTCTACATCATAAAGTTGTCCCAACTGTTTTTCTTTTACTTTTTGGAAGAAACAATTAATCACCTCTGTGTTTTTAACCATTGTTCAACTGGTTTGTTTAGTTAATTATGCCAAACATGTATGAAGTTACAGGAAAAATGCAGGCTTTTATATTAGTTTATTTTTAGAAACATGTTACCATTTATTTAAATCAAGTCCTAACCATATGTTGTGTATATCGCATGTGAATCCAATATCAGCTGTAGACTGTCGTCATCAAGAGAAAAGTAAAATCTCAGTCTCATATATCTCCAATTAATGTCAAGATTATTTCCTTTTTATTTTAGTAGCCGGTGTTACAGAAGAGAAAGGCCGAGTCCCTTCAAGTTTGACATGAAGTCTTGTGTGACACAACTTTAACTCTTTATATGATAGAAACAGCGCTTCGGCTGATCTAGTTTAGTGTTGGTTAAATCACTGAATAGATTCTTGATGTATACGACACAAAGAACAGCTACAGAATAATTGTACATAAATTCTGCAAACAAAAAAAACATCAGATAATTTATATTTGAACGAATAATGTATTTTGCACACCATTTTTTTATATAGAATACTGAATATATATATAATGTAGCTTTCATAGCTTCATTAACCAGTAAATTAATGCTAATTTAAGTTCCTCACAGCTGAACTTAAGACATGTCAACAACAAAGGCGTTAGAAAGAGACAAATCATGTCCTACTAGTCTTTGGATTGGACAGTAATCAGTCGTGTTAGACAGTTTGACAACATGTTACGTCACCATTCTGATTTCTGCTCTTTCATAGTGTAAAAAATGTGGCGTGAAGCAGGTAAGAATATAGGTTTTCTTCCTAAACCGTCTGTTTTAATCATGATCACACAGCTGGGCTGAGAGTAGCTGTTGTCAAAGCAACAGCTGAGATCTATTGAGGTGGGGTTCAGTGGAAAGAGTATGAATATTTAATATCTTACCTGCTCTGGATAGTTCTCTAGTTTAAATAAACAGATTGATTCTGAACAGATTTTTGAGCTAACGACTAGTCCAAGGAGTTTTTAAAAATGTATATTTGTTTGTGCCAACACAAATTTATAAATATTTTTTAATATATTATTTACTCATAATATTTGGATTATTATCTAGCTGTCACACTTTTGTGAAGGTCGGGGCACTCCTGTAAGGATTAGAACATTGATTCTGCCACAATAAGTGTAATATGAAGCTCTCAGCTGTGTAAAGGTTTATGAAATGTGTTCTTATGAACCTCTGTGCAAGTTTAAAGACTGTGTTTTAAGACAGCAACAATCCACTTTGGTCTTAGACTGAACAAATTCACATTAAATTGCTGAAGATTAAACCAATTGTCTAAATTGGTTTCTCATAAAACTTTCTACAACAGATGAGATGCTAATAGTTTATAACCCCTCCACAAAACCCAACTTTAAAAGATTCAAACTATCCTTAAATGGAAAAAAAAAAAAAAAAAAAAAAAAGACACCTTTGGACACTATATACCAACACAGCTGTTTGTAAAATGTGAAGTTATACCATCAAACTAATAGAAATATGCTTTTCTCAAAACTTAACATCTTAAAAAAAAATGAAGCTCTTATAAAACAGTATAAAAACTGAAACAGCAAAAACTGTTTAGCACAATTTAAACACTATTCACATGTTTTTTTTTAGGTCATTTGGCTCAGACGTTGAGGAAAAAATAAACGAAAGTAATTACTGCACCATGAAAATGAACTTTCAGCATCAGATTGATACTGAACACCTGACGAAAACCAACCATTTGGCACTGCTGAAGTTGTATTTGTTACAACCCAGCAGTAAACATTTGAAGATAAGATACTTCGATTATACGGATATGCCACTTAGACGTCTATTTTTTGTGACTGAAAAACTTACTGACAGTAATGATGCTTCAGTAATGAAATTACTTCCTGATTAGTTTATTTGATACACCAACCAGAAATGTTTTTCATTTCATTTATTTTCATTTACCTTTATTTACTCATTGAGCCACGAGAACTCATTTTCAAGAGAAACCTGTTTAGGGAGCAGATGGGGGTTAAGGGCCTTGCTCATGGGCCCAGAATGGGGCGAATGAGGGTGGGGGCACGTGTGGGTACTTCACCTACCCCACCTACATTATTTATTTATTTTTTTTTATGTCGGTACCGGGGCTTGAACCGGCGATCTTCCAATCACAGGCCCACCTTCTCTAACCTCTGCGCCACCACTCCCCCAGAAATACTGGTCTTACTGTAATCAGGCTGCACCCAATACATTTATCAGAAGGCCTCCCTCTGCTGAAGCATTTAAATATGTCATTAGTGACAGTCGGCAAACACTAAGTGGTGCTGGGGATGTTTACACGGAAACGACCAGGCTACAGGAACTCCTCACAAGTTCATGATGTCCTGTTAGAAAAAGAGAGCGATGACTGAAAAGAATCAACCATTTACCTCTTAAACAATTTATGTTTTTAGTAAACCAGTTGGCTCGTTGGTTCAACTCTCAACAGGCTTCAGGTTGTGTTTGTAATGTGTAACAGAGTGAAGTCTGAACTCCTCAGGTGTGACAGTCAGGTGTGTGCCAGGGTCAAAGTCAAGAGGTGGAAAAAATGAAACGTCAGGCAGCACAGCTGTCGATTTCCCTGCGCTCAGAGCGACTGATTCAGCTTCAGTTTCTAACTCGCCACGAAAGGCCAGCGACTGTTTGTCTGTGTGTGCTTATCAGCAAAATATCTCATGAACCACTGGACAGATTTTATTGCAACTCTTCCAAAGTACTCATTGAATATACAAACAATTAACATTTGGAGTTATCAAGATGGCCACCACAGCTAATTTGTGTTATCCAAAACAAAATGTCTATAATTCAGTCATTTATAAAGCTAAAAACTGGTGATGTAGAAGCTGAGAGTCGTTCACAACTTGAAGTGGTAACGGATAGAGTGAGATCTTTGAAAGTTTGATGTGCAAGGCATTAAGTAATACATGCACCTTCAGAGATTAGTTTTGTAATGCAACTGAAAAAATGAGCTGTGGGCGGGAGCGACAACATTTGACAAAGAATCATTAAACACCCAATACCTTTAAGAAATGCATGTCACCCACCATTTTTCATGCTAAAGCTTTATATGCTAAAACGGGATGATGTCATAGCTGTTTTAGTCAAACCTCATAAATGAGTATATTATTTATTTAATGTTATTAACCTTTAACCAGGCAAATCCCAATGAGATCAAAGATTTCTTTTGCAAGAGATGTCTGGGCCTGAAGGCCGCCTAATATGAATGATTTTGAACAGGAGGAGGAAACTGGAGTAAAACCAGAGAAAACCCACACAAACACAAGGAGAACATGCAAACTCCACACAAAAAGACCCCAGGTCCAAACTGGGGATTGAACCCAGGACCTTCTAGCTGTGAGGCAACAGTGCTAACCAACCGCTAATTCATTGTGAAGCTCAGACTATATGCAATCTCATACAATACTTCAAGATATACATTATAAATACTATTAAAGGATATAATTTAAGTAATGGATAAGATATTCCATGCTGAAGACAACTACATTTATTCATGTGCTTCATAGACCTCTGCAGCATCATGCCTCAATGATTAGCCCTTCTCAGTCCACTGCTGTTCATTATGACCAATGACTGCAGGGCTCACAACCAGAACCTTGTGTTAGGTGATGGTGTTGGTCAGATGTACCCTGAAGTATCTACCTTTTGCTCTGTCAATGTAGACAGAGGTGTCAAACCCACTTACAAAAAGGGGGCCAAAATTGAAACATTTTTCAAACTTAAGGGCCAGTTTCAGAATCTACATTAACTCAAGTTAGATACCCAACATCTTCTCTTGGTTGCAGGTTCCTCAGCAAGAGTTTTGATTGGTCTCATTTGACATTTTCTGTTGCACTTTTGACATCATAATCAAAGATTACTGAAAAAATACAAGTGGGGGAAAAAAAGCATTTTACTTTAAAAATATCATCTTAGGGGCCAAATAAGATGTCAACAAGAGCCACATTTGGCCCCCGGGCCTTGACTTTGACGCATGTGATGTAGAGTGAAAGGAGGGCAGTGCCAGTCCTGCAGAAATCCACAACAACCTTCTTGGTCTTCTGGATGTTGAGGATGAGGTTGTTGTCCTTGCACTAGTGTGGCAGATCTTCCACCTCCCACCAGTATGATGAGGCCAATCACTGCCGTCATCTGCAAACTTCACCACTCATTAGGGACATTTACACCATCAGGAGCAAGACCAGGACCACCTGCATCTTCAGTGACCCCACCCATCCTGAACATATCTCACCAGAGAGAAAGCTGCAATGCATCCAAGCAAAAATCCCCCAGACTGTAAAACAGCATCTATGCATTCAGCATTTATTAACTTTTCTGTTTATACAATGCCTATTTCAGGCTATGTCACTAGTTTAATTGTATGTTTTATAGTATTTTTATCATAGTACACACAGCTCTTTCATTCTTAACAGATAATGGTTTGAATGACAATAAAATGAGATATTGTAAGATGTGTTAGCTTCCACCAGACCAGATCCCAACTTAAAAAAAAAAAAAAAGTAAACTGGCCGAGTTATAATAATTTCTTTGTTTGCTAATTACAAATAGCTATAGGCAACAATCATAAAAAAGGTAAACAGCAAAAGTTATTCAGTTGTAGATTAACAAAAAATGATTTCTGAAAGTTTAATTATATGCTTTCTGATACATGCTCAATAATCCAGGTAGAATCACTCAACCCCCTGTGAATAGTAAACAGCCATCAGTGTGCTAATGATCCATTGTTAGGCTGATGGTCCTTCTTGAGCATGTGATCAGCTGGTTTTGGTTGTCAGCAGCAAACTGGTTGATCCACTCTGAGAAGGTGCTAT